TAAGGAATACAAGATAAAGGAGAGCTGGAGTTGAAGTACAAAATGTATAAAGCAAAGGAATAAAGGGATCAAGCTATCATTAAATGTCCTTCATTTGATGGGATTTGAGAAAATAATATTAATACAACTGAAAAATGCATCAACATGCTTCTACACAGTAAAATACATCACAAATGAAAGTTTGTAACAATTATGAAATGATTATCATACTAAAAAGTTGTCAGTGGAACCACGGTTCCGGAGAATTTGACGTAAATACGTCTATACGGAAAGGAAGTTTATATATTGGCTTTATTCTAAATATTTCCTTTATACATGCTTTACAATTGAGTAAAGTTTGATTAAGACTTTGCTTATTTAACTTGAATTAGTTACTCTTAAGATGGGTCTGTGGTAGCTGAATGTAATGTAATGTAAAGTAATGTAATGTAATGAAAGGTAAGCTAAGGTAATGTAATGTAAAAAAAGGTAAGGTAATGTAATGTAAGGTAAAGTAATGTAATGTAAGGTAAGGTAATATAAGGTAAGGTAATATAAGGTAATGTAAGGTAACTATGTAAGTAACCATTGTTGTTTATTTGTTGATAAACAGGTGACATTTCCTAGGTAACAACAATGCTGAGTAAACAGATGAGGTTTCCTAGGTAACATAACAATGAAGTTACACTTTTTCGTGTCCCTTTTTTGCCGAATGACACTGACCCTAAAATATAGACGTATTTACGTCAAAAATATATCTGGTATGTTGGCTGCACAGCAACACAAATGAAAGTTTTGTGATCTCGTGCCACCAGAATTGAGTTGTATAAATTATTCATACAATTGAATTTGGCAGCAGAGAACACCAGATATGTTTCTTTTAGTTTGGTTTTGGAATATGTTTGCAGTGTATCTTGAATACTTTTCCTCTCCTTTCTTCAAAACAGCTTGGTTCAGACAACTAGAACAGAACATTTTCATCCAAGAAAATTGAAATGTGCAATGTGGTTATTACTGTATTTTATCAAACACCACGCACTCTCAAATAAACTGTGCATCCCAATTTTTAATATGAAAAAAAATTAAAAAACATTTTCAGGTATTAAACATTAACTAAACATCAAACATTAATAAACACAAAAAATTATTAACATTAGTTCATATAAAAGAGTGCTTCTTCGTTATTTCCGGTGTTCTGCGATAAAATCTAGGAATTATGTTGTCGAAGCCTAATTACATATTTCTGAAGACAGTATTTTCTCCTTGTATGAGGCTGGTACTCACTGGAAAATGCTCGTTTTCCTTCTTGTGGCTAGGTCATATCTTGAGAAGAATCTTACGATCCAACCACGGCTGGCCTTGGAAGTTCTTGATTTCCATTTCTTTTGCCAGTGCCAAAGATTTCAGTTGGCAGATTTCGGTTAATTCTGCACAACCAAATCGTCTCTTATCATTAATGTAATCTACTAGTTTTTCTTCTATTTCGGGAAACTTTGCCTTTTGTTCACGATAAGCTCTTTGGCTTCCACTGCTTTGCAGCAATAAATCTTTCTTTTTTCTCTCCAGTCTCCGATGCAACTTTCGCTAACATCAAATTTATAGCCCGTGGCACGGTTTCCATTTTCTTCAGCCTCCCTAATTATCTTTAATTTTTAACTCACCATGAAAGATCATAATCGCATAATCTTTGTAATTTCTTTTTACTCAAAATCACAACGTAAAACAGACTTTGACCCATGAGTAGATTGAGATGAACTACATGTGCGAGTAAGAAAGATAACAGAGGAGTGGGCAACTACCCTCTGGGATGCACTAGAGTGCAAAACATGACAAATGAGTAGCGCTAAGTTTTATGCGAATAAGCCACGCACCCCACTTAGCACGAATATTTTCTGAAAAATGTGCGCGGGGTATTCGTTATTTGTTCCATTCCGCTTTCAGATCATGTGTAATTTTTCAGCAAAGTATACATATGTGGGGGATCACCCAATATGGACATGCCCAAGAGTGCAGCCACCTCCAAACATCCTAATGTAACACATCTTTACAATTTCCCCATTATTCTAGTATTTTTGGGCTGTTATAAAATGTAGTTCCCTAGAGCTAAAGAAAAATTATAGGTCTTTTATTCATAAAAAAACTAATCATTCATCTGTACAATACATTAATTAAGAAACACATATCCCCACACCCATCACATATTTTTGAATTTGAAATTTTATTTTCTTCCCCCACAAATGAAAACATTAAAAGGTACAATTTTAAGAGCATGTTTGCATTCGTGCCATACATATATATTGAGGTGGAAACATGGTTTGAGGCTGCATAAACCTTGCCGACAGTCTGGCCATTTACCAGTTTACTAATAGTCTTTTGGATTTGAGATAATAGTTTGAGTTGAAATCTCAAAACAGTTTTCCTCAAAACGTCAATATATATTCATGAAGATACAAATTTGGAACCCAGAAGAAAAATATAGACATTTTTTTATATCATATTTCACATTATCCAGCCAACAAAAATGTCTATCTTACACTTGCATTCTGATGTCTTAAGTTCGAGTTTTTAGACAAGTATTAATCCCACTGTAAATCAAACTGTGTCAAACAAACTCCAGACTCTCAAAATATACCTAAGAGTATTATTTCTTTATATATTTTTTCTCTCTAACATACAGTCTAGAAGCTGCACTTGTTTTAGTATTCTTTAGCGACGCAAAATAACGTTAAAAATGCAAATATTACTTTGCCTTCTTCTATGAAGCAGGTG